AACAGAGCAACCTCATGGACTTTTTCGAAAAAAAATAAGCAAATCTTGACGTTTCAACATGGATGCATTCATCGTTTGGCATATTGTTCACCGGCATACCCACCATCACCACCAGTGTGTAGACAGCGTACTGCAAGAAACCAATGCTAAGCAATCGAATTCTATTTACATAGAGCATTCGAAATGGCTGCACATGGACATACATGGCTAGAACGTATACGAATACTAGTAGTACACTTTAGATGTGGGGCTTTACTCGTGGTGAAATGGTGTGGTGGAGTTTTACTTAACTAGTGGGCATTATTGCTGGGTTGTTGCTGTATAGTCGACCAGTAACTATCATATCACTTCCTCATATACAGTGTAAATCAGGCCAACAAGCTGTGGGCAAATTGACTCCCCCTTCTTTTGTATGCTAAATATGGACGCGCTCCAAGGTAGTTCCAACTTAATCCCGTTCGATAAATACATGCTTTTTATATATTAAGGGGAGTCAAATTAGGAAGAAAAATCAATTTTCATTTTCGATTCTACTTTTCACCCCTCTTTTGAATGCGAATACAGTGTTATCTCACACTGTACGAATGACTTTCGAGGGCCAAATTGACTCCACATTGCTTTTCGTGGAAGCTAATAAAAATACAAAATAGGGAGAGTCAATTTGGAAATCTGATCTGCTTTTCGTTTGCAAGTTTGATTTTCGTTTCCACGAAAACCAAAAGCAAGTTGAACTTGGATAACTGAACATCCAACCAAATTGCTCGAAACTACTGGCACACATATCGCTCACTTACGATGGAGCTCGAGTGCGACGACCGTGCAAAGCGGGGCACGTCGCGTGCTGAGCGCCTTGCCATGCTTGAGTTCTTACGCATTCCGCACAACTTTGCGTTGATGACTGGCCAGGCCAGCAAAGGAAAGTCGGCGAAAGGTGGGCAGAGACTCACGAAAGCCCACGGCCATGCCCTGATGGCCGAATACGTGAACATGATCGTTCGCGACAGCACACGAACGTGGACAACGCAGGACGCAAAGTCCAGGTACACGAATAGATCAATGTCATCATTGTCACACACACTATAGATACGATGCGTACGTCTCATCGTACAAGAAAGCACTTCGTTGGTGCGGTCCAAACAACAGCGGTCGAGGTCTTACTCAGAAGGACTACAAGCGAAGTAGAACATAATTTGAAGATGAATCTCACTCATTCTGTAGAAATCTTTACGATTGAAAGCAAGTTGGAGAGTATTGTCCGTACTACAACGACATGAATGGCTTTTTGGCGAGCGCCAGAACTTTCGACCTTCCTTTGTGTTAGAAACGAGCAATGACTACGGTAAATTACTTGAATATTTTAGCAGTGAAATACATAATCAAAGTACGACGATTTAATATAGTTGACGAGCCTGGTGATTTTGATGAGTCCTTTGTGTCCGATTACAAGCCCAATAGCAACACCGAGGCTGTTGACGACACCGAACCACGAATGGATAACGATCCCGACGACCCCGACAATGACGAGTATTGGGCCGACAATGACGCCCATGACTCTGGCCACTATGCAGCGCAAGCGACGGGTCCGTTGGCTGACATCAACGTGCATGCACCCGATGCCCCCTGCTCTGCGCCAGGCAAACAGCCTTGGACTGGCAACCCGCACGACCACCATACTCCGCCCGCGAGAAAGATCACTGTCGCAAGCGGTCAACGACACGGCCACAAGGCTGACTCGTCGTAGCATCCTCGTCACTTTCTGGCAACGGAAAAGCGACTCACACCACGGAAGGACTTCTCGTCAATCTACATGGACGTGCAAAGTCAGTTTGAATTTCCTCGAACGCGAGAAATTCGAGTACCAAAAAGAAAACGATAAGCTAGCCCAATCTGCAGCGGTAGTTAGGGAATTGCAAACTGCGAAGGCGTCAATGATCTCGAAGTTAGTGGAATCTGGTTTGCTAGATGTTAACAAAATTCGGGAACTTCTTGCGATTGCATTTCCAGTTGAATAATTGAGCAAAAAATCAGAGTTGCCAGATCATATCGATTTGTTACTTTTCTGTAAATCCTAAATGATCAAACAATTGTCTTGTGGAATGGCGTTGCTCACTTGGCTGGCACGTGGAGCTTCACAGTACAACGGTACATCATCCTCACCATTACGGAGGCGGTTGACAATGTTGTGCAAGCCGCAGCAGGCCAAAATCCAGTTGCACACAAACTGAACGTCGCGCTCGTTGCGGATGTCGACTGTTAGGAGGGCAAGGCTGGACCAACGTCCTTTCAACAGCCCGTTCCCATGCTCGCAAACCATGCGAAGGCTCGCGTGACCAGTGTTGAAGATATCGTTTCCAACTTCACGCGCGGAGGGCAAGCAGTAAGAGGTGAGCATGTAGCGGCTGAAGGGAAAGTCAGAGTCGCCAGCTTGGTACTGGTCCGGGTCGAAGTAGGACAGAGGTTGCAGTGCTGGTGCAGCGGAAGCCCAAACAGTTGAATCGTGGACGCTGCCAGGCCAGCCCACAATGGCATGCCGAATTTGTCGGCAGTTATCGAAAGTCAAAAGTACATTCATGGAATATTCCTTTTTTCGACTGAAATAATACCTCTCGATGCAAAGCAGGTTTTCGTTATAAAACAACATGAGTGCCATCAGTAGACAAAATGCAGTTACGAAATCCAAAACGCTCTGCATTCGACTTGGCAAGTAGGCGTCGTTCGTAGGAATTCGGCCACATAATTTCGATTTAGATAATGAGATCAGGGAACATATAATACGTCTCGTATAAAGATGAACAGTCCCATTCCCAATTCCTTTCGCCCCTCGGGCATCAAGAATAAATAAATGAATAAAATATTGGTCACCACTGCTGTTGTCGGTATCAGAACTCCCGCCGCCGTGAAATACTTACTATATAAGCCGCCACCACATCGGGGGTTGTGGTGGTCTGTCACCACCACCACAATACTTAGTACGTCTTGGCGCGTCCACGATCCCCACCACCAACCGCAACACCCGCCACCATGCTTCGAACAACTTGAACAAAATTGAAAACTCAACAAGTGCATAATCATTAACTTATACAGGTATTGTGCGAGGGCAGAATTCTTGAGCAGGGTTCTAGGGAGGGAATATTTTGCCTTTACGGCCCTCGAAAATGGAAATATTTCGCAAACTCGCCGCCATTTTCCTTACTACGCTATTATCCGTCTCACGAAAATATGGACTGTTCACAGTCAGTCCAAAAGTGAAACCGTTTTTGAACTAACTTGGCAATATATCTTGTATTCACGGATTAGAATGGATTTTGATTGGCTAGTTCATTCTCAAATCGATTTGCCAAGTCTATTCGATTCTACTGGCGACTCCAATTACGAACCGACTTGACAATACCGATCTCTGACAAGTATAACGTTATCGTACCTCGTTCGTTGATTTGACCTTGGAGCCGTATTTTCAAAACGCCATAGTATTGTGGATTCGATACGAATTTCCAGACCCCGTCGAATCGAATCAAGATCAAAATATGGAACTAAAAAATCAAAATAATATGATTAAAAATATTTTTATTAAAATGTTATTGAACAAATATTTTAATAATTTCAAACATTTAAATTTTATAAAATACACGAATCGACGCTATTGGCTAATGCATTTTTGAGTTTATTTGATTGGCTCTTGAAGAAAGGACAAGTATATTCAACCAATCAGAACTTCGGCGTGATTCAATATTGATTCGACAAACCAGGCGAATTCACAATACAGTACTTGCAAAAACTTATCTCAATAAAAAATGGTCCTCCCATTTTGATGCCAGACGCGTAACGGTGTTACCATGGAATGTCTAAAAAGCATCGTAACTGGCGGCCAAATTTTGATGTTCATAGGTATATATTTTGAACTGCGGAATCGAATACAAAGTCGACTTGCATCAAACCTCGTCTCCTTCGACTACCGGTAGCATGCGTTCATCCTCGCTTACTGTTAACTGTAAAGTACCGTATGTCGCCGAGGATGGTTACGTTCCGCAGTCTCCAGCCTTCCATTGGTCAATCCGAAAATCTTATCGCTGATTGGCTACGTTCCATGTTGGATTTCTACCCGAGAGGCGAAGTAAATACTAGCCAATCAGAGTTGGAATATTAGGAAATTTGAAGAAAATTGCTCGTACCTGTAGTAGTGTAGCATAAGGTTAGATTGCACCAATCACATCGGACCAAGAATAAATCAAGAATGACATCTAACACGGGCGAGACCAACGCCAACAGCACGGACGCGGCCCTGACGACTGTCGACAACACACTCGCTCGCCGTCGATATTTTCGAGAAAAGCAGCGCAATTATCGCCGCAAGGTGAATGTTGACGTGGCGATTGTCGAAGCAGAGCTCGCGCA